CATTTACCTCCATCGTTTATATTTATAATTTTGTAATATTGTACTATAGTGAGAAACCTTTATTCTATTTTGTTTCACTCAGCATGTAGCCGACAGATGGCTGTTTCCTTTTGTGCAGTTTATTATATAAAGTTTATGCACTTTATTAACAAGTTTTCGTACGTCTGTAGTCGTCTTTCTTTTTATTATAAAAATAATATTAAAATTATGTGAAACCGACACAAAGACATTATTTGAACTGTGCCTCCTTTGTACAAATTTAGATTGTTTTCACACTGAAAAAGGGGACATACTGATTGGTCAAAAGAGCTAAAGTTCAGATTTTTTTAACCTTATTTTAAGCAATTTTGTCTTTTGAAAAACTGCCAATAGGTAAAGATATTTTTACATAGATTTATACAAAAACAACCCTCAGCTACTTGAAAAAAAAATACATTTTTTACTTAAACTTTCATAAAAACCTAAGTAAAATAATCATATCAGGACATTTTGTTTTGTTTTAAGTCTAGATCTCACCACATTGGCAGACTTTTTTTTCTCTTGACAAGTCAATATGACTCAAATTAAGATGAAATATTATTTTTTGACCAATCTTTACATAACAGGATGGGTTAAAATCAAGGTTGTTTTTTTTAGTCTGATCAACATCGTTCACACCATCACCCATCACCCCCATTTAGCATAGTGACAGCATGTACATAACAAAAGGTGGCCAAATGGGTTGCAGATTACCCCCCCACCCCCCGTCACTGCCATTTGGCAGTCTCTGGTAGAAAAAGGAGTTGTTATAAAAAGCTTATTAGCAAGAGGAAGCAAAAGGAGCACAAGTTTGAAATTAGCTGAAAAAAGTTGTATTAGCTACAAAAAAGTGTGAATTTAGAAAAGCTAACTTTGGCTAATAGCAGCTAAACATTAGCTAAAATTTAGGCAAATAGCTAAATATAGCATAAAGCATAAATAGCACAAAGTAGCAGAAAAAATACACAAAAAATGTAGAAAGAAGCTGAATTTTAGCTATAATTAGAGAAATGTTGCTAAAATGAGCACACGAAAGGGGAAAAGAGCATAACCGGAACAAAACGTGTAAGGTGCTGTAAAGATTTGGAAACATTTTAAAGAATTTTAAGGATGTTGACAAAAGCATTTATTTTTAAGGCAAAAAAGTGGCTAAAAAAGTGAAATAACTAAAAAAGTATAAATAGCTGAAATACCAAAAGTCATAGCAGCCCTCACATGAATGAGCTGAACGTTTTCATATATGAATTGTTGTCGTCGCACAAAAATTGTGGAACGAAGAACAAATGATCTCAATAGTGTGATTGCTGTGAAGCGTGCGTCACACAATAAAGTTTACAAACAATCCTTGAACACACCTGAAAACAACATATTTGAGCATTAATACCTGCCGGTGTGAACCTCGTGATTTCCTCCAGGATGGAGGTTTACAGGAGGACACTGCTCATAAAGCATCTGGAGCCAGCCAGGCCGCTGCGCCGCTGCACACAAGCTGATGGTAAGTACACAAATCTGCACAAACATACTGTGTTAATGTGTACTGCAGAGCTCACGTGAAGCAAAAATATTTCATTTAGAGCCTCAAATGAACGCAGCTTCATGGGCACAGGCCGTGGAACCAGAGGTAAGAAAGCCTGAACAGGATGCTGGTATTATTGTTCAGTTTAATTGAAACAAACAAGTTTTTTTGTAACTTCCAAAACTTTGCACTTAGACTACAGTGGACGTAGAGCAGTTCTGCAAGATTGTCAGCCTTCATCAGAACAAAGGTACGGCTCAAAATGCCAACTAAACTTGGCACTAAAAGTAAGGACATTTGTGTTTGGTAGATCATTTCTTTGTTGTAAGAATGYTTTTTGGCAATAAATTCTATTTTTTGGAAAGCCTGTTAATTTCTCTTTTAAATGGAGCCACATTTGTAAGGAACATGCRTTTARGGGATGAGCAGTAGTGTATGTGGGTTGTGCACATAAAAAATACTCAAATCTTCTCTGCCAAACGGCCTGTTTTGAAACTCCCAGGCGTTGCCAGTCACCCGCTCTAAGATTTATTTCCAAGAAGCATTGTTACAACAAATATATAACATGCAAAACACAAATTTTCTGACTTTATGTACTAAGTATTACATCCTGATGCATCTCAGTAATCCAGGTACAAAATCAAAAAGAAAAAAATTGTATAGGTCAGGTTGGCGTTCCTGGATTGCGATGTCTCGGTTTCGGATGGAGGACGGTTGGAAACTGGCGTGTATCGTAAGCCCACACACACACAGACCAGTATTTGCGTTTTGACTCCCACCACCCACTGGAACACAAGTTAGGAGTGATCAGGAC